AGCATCATGCTCTCCTTCAGGTTTGCCAAGAGTGGCGTCATAGCAAACCATGGTTTGAAACCATAAGACTGCTCTCACGTGCCACCTCTTATAGTGGATACCCTCAAACATAGGAGGTCTCATGGAAGCAGCAAAACCACTTGGGGTAATTTGCCTATCATAAGGTTTTTGGATTGTTGGAAATATGAGCAAATTATCGAATGATTTTATTAAAAGAAATACTAAATAAAGCATGACTAGTATAGCAGTGATAAAACAAGCCATGCGATTTGACAAGGAGAAGGTAAACAACATCTTCATATATGTACCGTAACTAAACATATTTATAGCAGACAATATAGCAAGTTGCATATATGAAATAGAGTCTAACATATCTAGGGCAAATACTAGAACAAGGAATTGTAGCGGGACCTTTAATAGAAAGAGGAACAAAACGTACGGGACAGCAACAGCAGAAGCGCTGGACTTGGGGTCGGTGTCCTCGCCAGCCATGTCGTCGAGGAGGTCGTGGACGTCGGGGAAGTAGTCGTCGGAATCCGGGGCGTCCGTGATGAAGTCAGTAGTCGCGTGAAGCGCTCCCCAAAAACCTTATCACCCTTCTCCCGTCCAGGACTCAAAAGGTGCAGTTTCGGAGGCCTACTGTCCCGACCTACGGTGCACGCCGCAAGCCAGGATGGGGAAGATCATAGCAGTAGCTCAGTGGTCGGGAACTCTGAGGTGAGAGGGTTGTGTTGTTCTGGTGCGTGTCTCTGGGAGGAGCGACCTCCCTTTTATAGGCGCAAGAGAAGGAGGTCAGAGGCTGCGTCGGGAACTGAAGGGAACGAGGGAGACGAAACGAACAGGCAGCAGCCGAAGGGTGCAGCATTCGTATTCATATCCACCATAGCAAAACTTTCCAGCTCCCGAGTTACCTTTCGTATACCCGTAGTGCGTGGCAAAAACTTAGACATCAGCTCGGCTCATTCCCGCAACCCGCGGCGCGGCGCGGCGTGGCGAGGCGGGCGGCGGAGGAGGAGCGCACGTGGATGTCCCTCTTATTTTCATGCTCATACAAGTGGGAAAAGAACCTCCCTTATATAAAGGTCCAACTCCCTCTAAACTAGCAATGTGGGACTAAACTTTAGTTCCACCTCTTGCCTTGAACGAATGGGCTGCATGGGCCCCTAGGATTTATTAGGAATTTCTGAAACTGCTATTGGGCTAGGCCCAAAATAGACAAAATTCTAGCATGAGTGACTTTGAAAATACACTTGGTTGCTTAGAATCGAATTGCTTGTGCTTTTGAATGTTGTTATCAATTTGACAGCTAGTAGTACATCGGAGTTTTTGTGTTGCTTTTCAGAAAGTGTGGCTTCTTCCTTATGAAAATTTCATGCCATACTGGCATCAGGGACTGGCATCGTACATCATAGCCGGCCTGCTACTTGATTTTACACTTGGTTGCTCCGGAGTTATGTTGCTCTGTCAATAGCCAAGCATATTTGTAGATGGATAAAGGAGTATTCTTCTACCTTGGAATGTATTTCTTGATGTTAATGGACTAGAACAATGGAAACCATGTGTGTGTTTTATTTTTTTGTAGTACCAGAAAGGTTAGAACTTTGTTTTGGCATGGCTTCAGATTTGTGGTGTAGCAACATCATAAGGCTATGAGAAATAGTTAATTGATTTACAATCACCCAATTTGATAACATCTTAATGGATTGATGATCATTTAGAAGCATAGTCTATGGGTTCTATCATTGTTATCGTTATCTGCAGTCATTCCTTCAAATTTTATGGGAAAAATCATGATGTTTGTTATACATATTTTGGATTGATAAAATATTGCAGTTTCGGCTGCCTGCTGATACAGAGTATAGGACGATTTTGCGGTCATGTTGCCGCAATATGGGTCATGTCAGATGATATTGAACGAATTTTGTAGTTCTCTACCCAGGTTGTAACAGATCATGAACGGATTTGTGTGAAATGAGTATATATAGAAATAGTTTTGAAATGTGGGAAGGGTAGTTTTAGCATATTTTGGAATTGAGAATAGGTACATGCTAGTAAGCACTCCCAAAGAAAACATAATTTATGCTTAAATTATGCAAACACTTTGTAGTCAACAAATAATGAAAAGCAAGTGAATGTATGTTTTATCTGAATTGCAGTTCAGATAAGTTGCATGCACACCTTCAATGTATAAAACAACACATAAATAGTAATAATACTCCATGATAAACGAACTAACAAATCAGACATCCCGATTACATGAATGTATTGTCTTATCCTTAAAGAACTCTGGAAGCGTGAGGTAGAAGGTGTTGTTCTTCAATACATGCTCATGGGTGCACAAACCTTTGATGTTATTGCGGTTTAGGCACTACAAATGTAACGAGTGGAGTCAGTAGAAAACAAGCAGTCAAAAGCAATTTGAATGAGATTAAGTGATATAGATGGAAATTTACCAACATTCCACCCGGTTGATTCAAATCCATTTGGATTTTGTGGGGTATGGCGAGCGGGGTCGCCGCCAGCAGGCGAGCACAAGCAATGCATTTATCGGCTGGCGATCGTTGGTGGTGAGGACTTGTGGTGACTGGCGCCGATGACATAGGGAGAGGTGACGGCGGATTGATTTGAGAATTTGATTGGGAAGAAAAAGGATCATGCGAAGAAGATTACGGAGGAGGAAGTTGATGCGACTACAACAGAGGGTCTGCGGGTCAAGTGGAAATAAATGTTAGAACATCATTTGAGGGTGTGAACTAGAAATTAGGAATGTAAGTATGAAATTGCAAAACTAGACGTGGATGTACATTTCGTAATGGTTGGTTTTACGCTAAAAAGGAGACTGCAAGCGAGGGAATGAGGAGAACGCAAGTTTGAGCATACAAGACTTGCCAGCAAAAACATAAACTAGAATAGAAAAGAAAGTAAAGGCAAGTTTCGAAAAACGTAACTTCATAGAAGAATTTTTTTTGAACACTCATAGAAGAATCTATAATATTAGGATTAAGAAGAGATGAGACGACAATTATCTCGCATAAGAGTTGTTGCATTTGGAAGGATGAAATCATAATTGTATTTGCAAGGAAGATATCAAAAGGACGGATAGAACAACAAATACACGTTAGCCGTGCAAGGATGCCGTGTAAACGCCGAATAGTTAACAACGGAAAGAGTGTGTCCCATGAATTTGGAATTCATAAGGACATGTATGGTGGACAAAAGAATGTAGAGTGATGAATTAAGAACCTAAACATGAAGATAGGTGGGCGGATGTATCACGAATAACGTGACCGAATGATTGAAGGAAGAATACAAATGACTTGAATACGAAGAGCATGAAAAACTCATGGAGCGACGGGTGTCCCAACGAAGAAGGTGATGAACAGTATCAATGCAAAAAAAATGAAGAATGACAATGAATATGAAGATGATTGAAGGGAACAGACCGGTTGAAGGAGGAGGAAGGAAAGACGTACAAGAACAATTGCGTGGAGTAGTAGCACAAGATGGTCATGCATATTGTGACATGTTCACATGCTTCCTAAATTTTCATCTACTCCCTCAGTCTCAAAATGTAGGACAAAGACAATTTCCCTATCGAATTGAGTTTTCGGATCACATCGTGCGTACATGCATATGCCCTCACACCTGCGTACCCCACAAATTACTTTGTACATTATTCTAGCTTCTAATACAGTTAAGTCATTTATTTTGGGACGTGGGAGTACTTCGAAACAAATCGATCTCTGAATTAGCAGTAGTGTAGTAGTAGGTTTGGGACAAGGAGCAAACCGGCCTTGTCTCTGAATTAGCAGTAGTGTAGTAGTAGCAGGCACGACTATAGGAAGACGCGGCACGGCCTGGCCGGCAGCGCGATCGAGCGTGGGCACGCATCACTTGGGCATGGACCATCCAGCTGCCGCCTGCCAGGATACTCTATCGATCGATCTATACATCATCCACTGCGTAAACATTGGATTATACAGTTCGCTGGGAGCACTATTATACTCCTTCCGTCCGAAAATACTTGTCATCAAAATGGACAAAAAGAGGTGTATCTAAAACTAAAACACGTCTAGATACATCCTTTTTTCCATTTTGATGACAAGTATTTTCTAGATACACCTCTTTTGTCTATTTTGATGACAAGTATTTTCGAACAGAGGGAGTAATTAATTAATTTTGGCTCCAAGAGTTTATCTGACGTGACGTGTTGGACCAAGCTGCTTAGCCGGAGCACCGTCACGTGGGTCGCGTTGCCTACCTATGTCTGTGTGCCCTCCCGCGTCTCCACCCGTGTGCAGTGCACGACTGCACGTACGGCCTGCTGTTTTCACCCAGCCGCGTACCATGAGCTGGCTGCCGTCGCCAAACAGCTGCCGCCGCCGCCTCCAACGGCCCTGCTCTGGTGGCCGTGAAATCGCATAAACCACATGACACGCATGCAGAGTGAAGCGAAAAAGTGTGTGTGTGTGACAATTTTTGTTTCTCCATGCGATGCGATGCCATGCGTGTCCCCTTGAACTACTCCAGTACTCACCGGACGCCGATGGATCCAGCTGTCTGCATTAACGAGCAGAGATCTGTGTTCGCGTTTGCCAACACGCATCGCTTGCCTTGCCATGCATGCGGACCGGTGCAGTCCAGGATCGATTTCACACCTTTGTTTCCCCGTTGATCAAAACCTTCCATAAACCCACAGCCGCGACCGCGACCGCCACGCGGTTTCCAGGACGCTCCCTCCTTCGGCAGTAAGCAGCCCGACCCGACCCGCCGCCGCGCTCTATATAACCCCCGCCGCCGCCGCCCTCCCCGCTCTCTCTCCCATCTTGTTCACCTCCTCGCACGTCACGTCCCTCTCCTCCTCCTCCCCCTCCTTCGTCCACCACAAGGGAGAAACCCCAAGCCAGAAGGGAGAAACAACGCCGGCGACCACAGACAGCCATACAAGGTGCGTCGCCGTCTTCCCTATCTCCGGCCGGATTTGTTTGTCAATTGAGAATATGGTGACCAGTTCTGGAATGTACCAATGCGCATCAATTACAACTGACAGTGTGGCACGGACGTTTCTGATGTCGCAGATTGATTCGCACGCGCGCCGCGAGGAGCAGGAGCGGCCGATGATGAACGACGGCCGGGTCCACCCGGCGGCCACCAGCTCCGACTTCTCCGGCGAGTACGCCTACTCCTCCTCCGACCCCTCCTCCAGCCCGCTCTACAGCTTCCACTTCGAGAAGCCCGTCCCGCCGCCGCCCCAGCACCAAAACAAGCCGCAGCCTGGCACGTACGTCGTGCAGGTGCCCAAGGACAAGGTCTTCCGCGTACCGCCGCCGGAGAACGCGCGCCTCTTCCAGCACTACACCCGCCGCGCCAAGCGCCGCGCCGGCTGCTCCTGCCTCCGCGCCTGCCTCTACCTCGCCGTCGCGCTCCTCTCCCTCGCCGTCCTCCTCGCCGCCGCCGTCGGGGCCGTGTACCTCGCGTTCAAGCCCAGGCAGCCGGCGTACACGGTCGTGTCCCTCGCCGTGTCGGGCCTCGCCGGGGTCGGCAACGCCTCCGCGCCCGGCGCGCTCTCGCCGGGGTTTGCCGCGACCGTCCGCGCCGACAACAGCGCCAACGGCAAGGTCGGCGTGCACTACGACGGCGCCGGGAGCCGCGTCGCCGTGTCGTACGAGGGCGTGAGCCTGGCGGACGGCGCGTGGCCGGCCTTCTACCAGGCGCCGGGCAACATCACGGTGTTCGTGGCGAAGGCCAAGGGCACCGGGATACGGTTCTCGGAGCGCGAGCGCGGGCAGATGGCCGCGGCGGAGCGGCTCCGGTCGGTGCCGTTCGACGTGGACATCACGGTGCCCGTGCGGCTGCAGCTCGGCGGGCTGAGGACGTGGGCCGTGCCGGTGACGGTGCGGTGCGCCATGGCGGTGGACAGGCTCGCCGCCAGCGCCAAGATGGTGTCCAGGTCCTGCGACGTTAAGGTGCCGTTCCTGTTCTGGAGGAACTGACGCCGAATCAAGACAAAAATGGATCAAGCAATGTTAAGGTAGCAGCAAAGGATTCAGGCTGCTTCCGTGATGTTTTTTCTCCCGATTAATTTGTATGTTGGTTTGATCAAGCAATGTTAATTCTTTTGTCCGTCGAGATCATGTTCTGCCGCGAAATTGTGCTGCAGTTAAGATGTTCACGAGGTGCAACCTCTCTTCTCCTGAAAGACTGAAAGAAAATGGTGTTGGTGCACCGGTACCTGTTGTGTTACAATTTGAACAGCTGCTGACGGAAAAAAGAAACCTAGCAGGAGTATAAGTTTTGTCATATGGTTTGCAGTAGAAACTATACATTTTAATCTGGAACAGTAGCAACTACATATCGTTCTGAATATGAAATGCATGAACTTTTATAGTTCCAAGCAAACTTGGATGTACTACTCCAGTTTACACTAGGTCATTTATGCTTTTGCAATCAATTGGAACTATGAAGGCTCACACACAAGTCCCATGACAAAATTGAACGTTCAGCACCACGGCAACAGGCATGCTTGTTAGTCCAGGGGAAGCAGCTCAAAACTCTGTGTAGACATGAACATACTCAGCTCGTACAAGGACTGAATGTTCAGACTAACACCGACTGAACAAATCAGCTCGTACATATGATCAGACTTGCAGGTCAAATGTCTGCAGTTCAAGCACTTCTGAAGAATCATTCAGATCCATTTCAAAAGTGGTTTCGTATACATATTAGTGTGCATGCCAGATTAGATCAGCACTTCAGCACAACAACCTTTGACAATATATAGCTCGATGACGATGATTAGGATAGAGCCTGTTCTTCTGCCGTTATCTTTGCCGTCTGGTCAATGCTGAAAACAATGTTGTGAGCTCCCAGCGACTAAGTGTAGTGTCCTTCACGTCTTGGCCGGCTGAACATGAAAACTATATCAGAGAAATTGTCAGAATCTGCTCTGCACTTCTGTTCGGATTGGATACCCGTTTCTAGCTCTCAAGACAGTTAGTGCAGCTCCATGAACTTGAACTAATTTTCAAGCCTTTTCGTTTGTCCAAAGTCCATGTAGGAAAACATCTTGTCCAATCAATGTGATATACTCCCTCCATCCACGAATAAATGTACGTTTGACATTCAAAATTTATCCACAAAAAGTGTACTTCTATATTTTCAATGCACTTTAAAATAGAAAGAAATGCTTCTCTCTCATCACACGGTAATCAAGACCAATAACATTCAACACATAGTCTCCCCAAGTTTTAGATAAAACCACGGACCAAATCCACCCAAATCTTCTTCCACTATAATTAAATGTGAGATACAAGAAATTGTTGTCTAGATAGCACGAGAGGCTCACATACATCAAGACCTCTCAATCTTGGATGGCAACAACAAGATTTGGGGCTCAAGAGATTGTGTTGGAACAATCTCACCAAAGATGTGGAATCAGTATCTTGAAAGAGACAAGGTGGTGGATCAAATCATCACAACCTTAGGTTTGAGCTCCCTTTGCTTGCTTGAAGCTCTTCCTTCAATCTTTCTTTATGTTTTCCTCTTCTTCTCCAACGAAGGCTAACCTGATTTTCGTCATTTATATTGGTGGCTTCTGGATGGGACTAGACCTCCCCCTTCCCTCGCATGCAAATAGCAAAATGACCCAAGGTCATTAGCCTATGGGCGGTGGGCTTTGCCACATGTTTGGGCTATCTAAGGCCATGTTCGGTTGACAGGGTTGTGGAGGGGTTTTGACAGGGATTGAGGTGGATTAAATCCTCTACAAGTCAAATCCCCTCCAATCCTCTTAGGGCAGGGTGTAACCGAACAAAGCCTAAATGACTCACATTTGTCATCTCTTTTTTTTGCGGAAAAATTTTCAATCTATTCATCTTCAATCATGGCAGTACAACGAATACCAGAAAAAAAAATTACATCCAGATTCGTAGACCACCTAGCGACGACTACAAGCACCGAAGCGAGCCGAAGGCGTGCCGCCGTCATCGCCCCTCCATCGCCGGAGCCAGGCACAAGTTGTTGTAGTAGACAGTCGGGAAGTCGTCGTGCTAAGGCCCCATAGGACCAACACCCCAGAACAGCAACCGCCGCCGATGAAAAATAACGTAGATCGGAAGGATCCAAACCGAAGACACACGAACGTAGACGAACAACGACGAGATCTGAGCAAATCCACCAAAGATAGATCTGCCGGAGACACACCTCCACACGCCCACCAACGATGCTAGACGCACCGCCGGAACGGGGGCTAGGCGGGGAGACCTTTATTCCATCTTCAGGGAGCCGCCGCCGTCTCGCCTTCCTGAGTAGGACACAAACCCTAACAAGATTGAAAAACGGACTAAAAACGGAGCCCTCCCGCCGGCCCTTGCCAGAATCCACCGTGCCTCCATGGCCCTAGGGCCACCGGAGACGAGGCGGACCTGCGCCGGTGCCGGCGAGAGGCACGAACCCTAACTTTCTTTCTTGGAGGAGGAGGAGGAGGGGGCTCACATTTGTCATCTCACTGCGACCCACATGAGGAGGTATCCCAACAATAAGTGTATATATCTTTTACAATGTGCACACTAAACAAAATCAGTGCTCAAAGTTTTGTGCACTTTTGAGCAGTGGTTTTGTTATTTTTGGTGAGGGCTCCTTGAATGTTATTTGCGGATGAAATTTAGTAAGAAGCTAAAACTTTTGATCTTGTTTGATTTCAAAAAAACTGATTTTTTTTTGTAATATATGTTCTGAATTTGCTGTTCATCTGGGTGCACCTACATCGGGAGCAGACACACCTTTCTGCTAAGCAAATAAAAAAAAACTAAAAAGGTATAATATTTATCCAGTCCCTCAACTATTGTGAAAGTCCAAATTTGGTCACTCAAATTAAAACAATAAAACGTTGGTCTGTAAAGTGTCATCTGCATTTGTCCCTTGGTTCGGTCAAAGTAGTTTTGATGATCACTTGACTGTGGTTTTGCACACATGGAAGCCCACTGGACGACTATTGTGAAACAATGAAAAACGGTGAATGAGAATAAATGGAATATTTTTTATGGGCAAAGACAACTACTCAAAAAATTACCATGGTTTTACGTATTTTGGAAATGTGCAACGATTATGAAAATTAAGAAAACTGTGGGCTTTGTAAACTTCTTGAAAATCGTAGAAATCGGCAAAGATACTAATTATTTTTCTTTATTACTCATGATTTTTTTCTACTCGTCTTCCCCTCGAGTTAGGGTTTTGTTCTCGCGGCGACTACGACGCCGTCGAGTAGATCGTTTTTTCGTTCCTTATCGCCGATCTCTCTCTGTCTTCCTCCGTCGCTCACCCCACGCGAGGCTAGGCAGGGAACGGTGGTTCTAGGGTTTCCCCAATATACCCGGTCAGTTTTTGCATCGGGTAAGGTTCTTCTGATGGCTGCTGATGGGGCCTCGAGCTCCTCGGGCGCAAGCGACGTCGAGCGGATGATGGCAGAACTTGGACTGAAGGAAGAAGATCTTGATGATGTGATCTTCGATGAGAAAGATGCGCCTCCACAGGGACCCAGATGGATTGCGTTGGCTAGGGTAAACACCTCCAAATCGTACAGTCAGACGTGGTTCTACAGAAACATGCGGTCAGCATGGAATATAGCGCAGGAGGCCAAGTTTAAGCCCTTGGAAGATAATCTGTACTGAGTTCAACTGTCTTGTTTAAGAGATTGGGAGAGAGTTATGCATGAGGGACCTTGGAATTTCCGAGGGGATGCAGTGCTTCTTGCGCCTTATGATAGGGTCTCAAAACCTTCATCCATCAAGGTGAAGACAATTGACATATGGATCCAGATACATGATGTTCCTGATCTGTTTGCTCACCTGGTTACCCCACTAGCTGCAAAGGTGGGGGAAGTGCTATTCACATAACAACCGTCTCATGACTTTGTTGGGAATTTCCATAGGGTGTGGATTCGATTGAATGTGTTTAAACCCCTAAAGAACGCTGTATCTATGATCAGAGGGGGGGGGGAGACAGATCTACAGGGTAAAGTATGAGAAGCTCCCTGATTGGTGCGCCGTGTGTGGTATGTTGGGTCATCTCTATAAGGAACACTGTACTGGGATTCATCCCCCTTCGGCTCTAGTCTTCAAGGATTTACGAGCTAGCTGGGCCATGCGAGCGAGCCAGGGTCCTGGAGAGGGCCGAGGTAGGAGAGGTGGCTGCAGGGGAGGCCGGACAGGGGGACGATCAGGCAACCGCCGCGAGGCCGACAGGAACAACTTCCCAGCTTATCAAGGGACGGGAAGGAGAGAGGACGACATGGTAGTTGGATGGCAATGGCAAAGATGCTGATATGGATGATCTCACGAGGAAGAGGTTGGCTGGGTTGCCGCTATAAGGCAATGTGCACAACAACACAAAAGGTGATGCTACAGATAAGCTAGCAATCGTGCCGATGGGCACTTCCGTGTCCAGTCCCCCTCACAGAGAGAACCCAAGAGGACCCGAAAGGAAGATGATGGCAGTGATGGACAGGTTTCGGCAATGAAGAGTTTGGCGGGCTCCTTCGAGGAGCGCCGCCGGGCCCAATGAGTGCCCTTTGCTGGAACTGCCGTGGAGCGGGCAAACCAGCGGCAGTCCGAGAACTTCGCGAATTTGCGAGGAAGTTTGCCCCTACCCTAATTTGTATTGTGGAGACACGGATTGAAGGTTCTAGGGTAGAAGCTTTAGCTAGTTCTATTGGTTTTGATAATGCTTATGCAGTTGATAGTCAAGGTAGGAGTGGTGGTATCGATTTGTTTTGGAACAATGAAATAAAAGTTGAAATTCTGGGTTACTCTGTTTACCATCTTGATGTCTCTGTAGAGGAGCAGGGTGAGGATAAGTGGAGACTAACGTGTCTTTATGGCGAGGCGCAGACGCACTTACGGCACCAAACATGGACAACTTTGAAAAACATCAGTACAACAAGCAGCTTATGTAACACCCAGGATGTAACTTTCCATCTTTGTAACTCCAACTCTTG